CCTTCTTAGATGGTCAGTGTTTCCTCAGGACCTGTAATACAGGAAACCTAAAGAACTTTAGGAAAGATAAATTTTTAATTTAAACCAGGTCCCACCCCAAGGCAGGAAGAGCTTTAGAGAACATTTCCTTTCCTGATATCTTGGGGTTGTAGGCTATGGTAGACAGGAATTTGTATGCCTTCTCTTGGAGCTAGATGGGCAGGTGGCTAGATATCAGAAATGTCATTGTGCTCTGTGGGATCATTTTAGGTCTGAGACCTAAGAAACGATGGTAGATGTACTATACATTGATGTCTTTGTTTCTTAACTTGATTGGCAACACATGCTATTTTGGGCCTCCCCCTTCATCTCTCAGGCCAGTTAATGCCTACCAATTGGCATTTCTCTAAACCCCCAGTGACTGCAGCTACAGGAAGGCGCACCTCTGTAGGAGACAAGACAGTTTCACCTTCCAGCCTCTCTGCCAGGCACCTGCATGGTTGCTGCTCCTGAGATTCCTCTGGGGAGTTTGTTGAAGCAGACTGCTGGACCGAGCCTCACAGTATGACTCAGGAGGTCCTAGGTGGGTCCAAAGAAGTTGGCTTTCTAGTCCAGCTTGAGGTGTTGCTACATTCTGGGGGTCATGCTTGGAGACTCCTGGGTCCCCATCCCCTTTCTAGGTCCACTGCTAACTTGCCACAGAGTGAGGCCAGATGGCAACAGGAACAGGGGGAAAAGGAGGGAGGGCTAATGAGGCCTCATCTGTCGAGTGAAGGCAGAGCTGGTCTCCTGTTTCTGCATAGTCTTGCCTTTTTTTTTTTTTTTTTTTGTCTTTTTTTTTTCGTTTTTATCGGTACCAGGGATTGAACTCAGGACTGCCTGCTTGCAAGACAGGCGCTTATGCCGCTGAACTAAATCCCCAGCCCCCATAGTCTTGCCTTTGCACTGCGAGCAATGCACCCGCATTGCCAGTGCTGAGTATTTGCACATGGTGACACATGACCAATGCCAGTCTATTATGTAAACTTCTGGAAGGATAAGGTATATTCATGACTTTCTAAATGTTCAGTAGTCCGATATAGCCTCGTGCCCAAAACACCAATGACCAAAGCACATTGTTCACAGCATCACTGGTGCTAAAATGGTGAGCGTGGCACTGAGTGGCCTGTCCTTCTGGAGGTTAGTGGCCTAGAGGGAGGACACATTTACCAAGTAACTACAGAGGTCATTACAGAGGTAATGAGAGTTAAAAAACAGAAGCACAAGCCACTCTTCGGGAGAAAAGAAAGACCTACTTCTTATGAGTAGGTTTTTGCTGCCTTGCATTGTTTCTGCCCTAAAGACTTGCATCAGACTGTAAATCTTGGGGAGCTGAGTTAGTCCCACTGGCTGCCTATCATAACTGCTTCTAGTCATGCTTACCTGGGTGGTGACCCCGGTAACCACATACAAAATGCAGCTAAATGTTTCAGCATCTTTCCTGCCCAGGCTGTTTGAATTAAGATGAATTTGCAGTTCTTCTGGAGCTGGTGATTTGACAGAAACAGCTTGGCTGGTTATGTGGGTATTATTGTGATTCTTTCTACCTAGAGGTTGCCAGGCTGGAGGGAGCAACGTGCTGGTCTGACGTTAATGAGTCCCTTAGCAGAGGAGAATTCCTGCCAATCCAGGAAGCCAGAGACAAAGTAGTAAAATGCACCATTTTATGTGCTGGGTTCAGGAGCCAAGTGAGCGAGTGAGCTCTGTCGCCACGACCAAGACACTGCTCAATGAACTTCCCTTCCCAAAACTCCCATGAGAGCAGCTGGTGTCTAACTAAACTTTATTTTTTCAGGCTGACCAGAAATCTTACCCTCTTCTGGAAGTTATCTGTATTCTTTCGTGGGACAGAGGGTGACCACACAGACCCAGGGAAAAGACATTGCTTAAATGTCTTTGAGGACAAGAACATCCTCTAGAGATTATCTGCAGGTTCCCACAGCACTTAGAAACTGTGGTAAAGATTTAAATCCTAGGCTGTTGCTTCCAGCCCACTGTCTGTGAAGAAATGCAGCCCACGAATCCAAAGTTCACTGGGTGCTCAGGCAATTAGGATGACCCCGGAGGTTTCAGAAGTCAATTAGGACATCTAGGAAATGGGAATCAGAGATGGCTGCTGAGGCTCTTAGCTCTTCCCTTCTACCCAGTGGATTGTTAACAGAAATAGGAGTTATGTCTGTAAGCAATTTGAAACAGTATTTTTGCTGTTGTTGCTAACCTCACAAGCCCCCAGTCCACGTAACTGAGCATAGATTTTAGGAATGATGATTCTGCAAATAGTCTTATGATCATTTATTAATATGATATGTAATGTTCTGTTTCGCTTGTTCTGTTTTGCTGTATTCAATATTCTGTTTGGATTGGTTTTATACTGTTTTGTTTCTGGTTTGATTTTGCTATACCTGATGGAATGGACAACTATTATGAAGATAGCAAGATATACTATGGTAGCTACTGTTGTTTTCCTAGTATCCTGCTTTGAAGTTCTGTACCAGTTTTGCTGCTTTGTTTTGATGGGCTTTGCTGTTTTGTTCTGTTGGATTTTACTATCTTTAAAATATTTTTTAAAATGATATGTGATGTTTAAAAGATATGCCCTTAATTTTTGGGTCCATGAATTTCAAGTTTGGATGTAGAGATTAATGATCTCTTTTATAAGTGTCTCCTACTATCTCACAGTGTAGTGACCTCAGTGGGAATTAATTCTGTTGGGAAAACTTTCTAAAGACAGAAGTTGAGGTCCTAAGAGTAGGCAGAAGACCATCCAGAAGTTGAAGTTGGATGTCACCCACGTGTATCCTCAGGTTGGTCCCTTGAGTGTGAGGAGAGTGAGAGGTTGGCAGAACCAGGAGCTTCAATTATAAGAGGTCCAGGGGAAGCCATGGTGAGTTCACTGGCTTTCAGTACGTGCCTTTGGGGGCATAAGTCACGCATAGCAAGCTCTCTGGCTCTGGTGGGCCTTTCCCTTGTAGCTGCGTCCTCTTTCCTGAGCATGCTTCAATACCATGGCTGCCCGTGTTGAGTAGCCTGATTTCTTACTCTTTCCTGTTGTCATCCTTATGGTTTCAAAGGATTAATGTAGGTGCCATGTGACTTTAAATATTGTGATGTCGACTTAATTTCAAATCCTAGCTCTGCTATGTACTAGTCATGAAATCTCGGGCAAGTTCCTTGCTCTCTTGTGCCTATTTATTGGTAACATGTGGACAATATCTGTATCTGTAAAGTTTGGTGTGAAGTGTGAGTTAATGCTTGGAAAGGCTTAGGACAATGTATGGCAGAAGGTTAGATTTTCAATAAGCACCAATCATTACCACCAACCGAATGAACAGAAGGAGATTCTTCAAGCATTTCCTGATCACAGCAACTGAATATGGTGGAATGAAATATGACAGATTTCCTGTGGTAAGCAAAACATTGGAAATGATCTCTATCCAAAGAGGAACAGTTAGATAAATTGCAGGGTATGTACACGAAGAGCCCTCTGTTTATGGCACGATGTACTGTGTAACCAAATGTCATTTGTGGTTATTCTTTGAGATTCAAAAATTGGCCTGGCCTATAATGAGAAGGCCCTGGGGACAATCCCAGAAGGACTTGGTGGTGGTGGAGTGGAGAGAGGCGGGAGTTCCACTTCCCTTTTCACCTCTGTTACTTCTACCAACTCTTGCTATCTTCCTGCTTTCTTACTGCTCATGACACCACACTGAACTCTTTCCTGATTTTCTGCTCCCCAGAACACTGATACACCAAGAAGTCTCTTCATGAGTTTTCCCTCCAGAGGTTCCTGTCTCCAGCCTTGTTGTGGGGTCCTCATTTCTCTTTTCTGCTGTTCAACCCGACCTTCTAATCTCTGCAGAAGAGGTGATCTGAGGTTAGCCTCTTCCAAGTGCATGTGGGGTTCACTTTCTAAATAAGTTCATGGAGGTTACTTTGAAACAAACATAGTTTTGTCTTTGCTGTAATTTGAGTCTGGAACGTCCTCCAAAGTCATGTATTGAAGGGTTGGTCACCAGCCTATGGCACTTAGGAAGGTGGTGGAACTTTTAGAAGGCAGGGTCTAGTGGAAGGACTATTGGGGGAAGGTTAGGGTTTAAATATTGAGACGCCAGCACCTTTATGTTTCCTGATGGCCATGAGATGGACAGCTCCTCCACCACATATTCCTACTATGATGTGGTATGTCACCCCAGGCCCAAAGGCAACACAACCAAACAATCAAGGACCAAACAATCTTTGAAACTGAAAGCCAAACCAAACCTTTCCTTTATATAAATTGTTTATCCCAGGTATTTTGTCATGATGATGTAAACTTGTAAGGGAATCCTGCTGTAATTATAATTTTGTATATTTATATATTGGGCTTCATAAACTTTGAGCATGTTTCAGGTAGGAACCTATGTCAGGCCTATACCTCAGGAAGTGGAACAACATACTAGTTAATAATGTATGTGCACTGGTGCTAAATTACCTAGATCAAACTATTGACTCAACTTCTTACTCTCTTCGGAAATAGGTTTTAGGAAAGATTAAACTGTCAGTTAATGAACTTATACTGCATCCGAGGCTTTCACTGTATGCTCAGTAAATGCCTGCATTAATTACTCCAGGACAGATCTGCCACTGTCCACCTGCAGGGCTGAGCTCTATACATGGTGGCATTTGCCATTCCTGGCTGGAGAGAGGGCTTTGGTGATGACTGGGTGTGACACCGCGCCCAGCTTCCTGGTGACACAGACAGATAGAAGTATGGGATTTAGATAATTTTTTCCCTTGAAGAAATTATAGTGCAAATATCTGGACACAAGAAAGGAAATTTTTACTTAACCAGGTTTGAAAGAAAAGCAGAAACAGTTCAATGATTTCATCTAAAGGGTAACCCAAGATGCAAAACTTTTTGAGGCTTCCTTTCCCATTACTATCCACTGAACACTGGAGATATTTACTTATTTTTCTCTTTCTACATACAAAATGAAAAAAAGCAAGTTTAAAAAGTCTTTATTTAAATTTTAGAGAAAGAACAGATATTGCATTATAAAGAGTTGCTTGAAAATACGCAATATTGTCATTATTTATGTATTGTAAACTGACATAATTATTAAAGGACAGACTGATACCTCTTTCCTCTTCATCCTCAGCATATTATTAAATTACTATGGACACAGCCCAAGGAAGAAAGCCCTGGTGAAATGGCATCTCTGGCAATCTTTTCAGGTTTCCACAACTACATGGGTACAGCACTGCTGGTGTTAGTCCAACCATACTTGCCAATACGATGGGAAAAAGAACTGGTATCTCTAAGACTATTAGCCCTTCACAGCTTTCATCAAAAGCACTATTTCCCATTCATCTCCTCCGTCCTACTGACTGCCCCAGAAATTAGGGCTTAATATGAATGCGAATATTTCAGTCAGTAAACATTTGCTGTGAAAGCCAATCTGCTAATCTCATTCTGGGATTAGCACACCAGGGAATATGCCCAGCCTCCCAATTTATTAAACTAATGGTTACCAACTTCTTTGGGGACAAATACCAGAACAGTGTGGTGCTTATAAGCCTCAACAAGTAATAAATTGTATTTATTCTTAGTTCTCAAGGTGAATAGAATTCTTTTGATGTGCTAAATCCCCAACACTTAGAGTTAGCTCAGAATTATGTCTACTATATACACTGGCTAGCCATGACATGCTTCGCACATAAGATCAAATTGTCTAAACATACACATTTATCACTTTTCCAATAAAAATGATTGCACATGACAGATAACACAGATATTAGAATAAACTGTGGAAAGTTCTAGTCCTATCCAAAATAAACTTTAAGATTAGTCATTAAAAATATAAGTTAGCAGAACATTCTCTTGAATTTTCAGATAGGAGGAAATTACATTTCTTCTTTGTGCATAGTTTTTGCTGGACTCTGGTAATAACTTTTTGGTCCAGTTTCTGTTTCCTTAAATATTGGCCACAATCCCTGCAGGTAAGGAGAAAACAGGAGTTTTCCCTTGCAAATATTGTGAGGGTAGGAATGAAAAATTCTTATATTTCATTTTCTTTAAACTTTCTTATTGTATGGTAAAAGTTACAACTTAGCAGCAAGGATTCTGATTTATATAAATTAAAATGGCTTGGGACTGATGAAAACAAGGTTTTGGTAGGGAATACGGACTCCAGAGGGGGTAATGAGCTTTTACCAAGTCTGGCATAAGCAGTCTTATTTGACACAGACAGCAATGTGCAGTTAACACGGGTCTGCTGACGCGGGCTGAGTCAGCCCATCAGTACGCAGTGGAAGGAGGCTTCGAGAGTGACAACTTCCCATGAGGTTGGGCTGACAGGGGGCACTGGATCGGGCACTGGATCAGACTCTGGCACTTCAGGTTATGAAAGTAAAAGTGGTTATTTTTAATAGGTCATTGAAAGTGGAAGTTGCTCTTAAAGTTTCTGACACAACAGTATTTGATTCTCTAACACAAGTCTTTCCCTGTAGTGCATTTCTGTCAAGTGTCACAATCTGAACTTAGTACAATGGCAAGAATCCAGTAGGAGTCTGAAAGTCGTGCAGAACTTTAGAGCTCTCTAGAAGCCTCAGCGGCAGTGTCTGATGGTGTCTTGCTGGGCTGCGGTGACTACTGAGGAATATGTGCCCAGTGGCAGTCAGCCCGAAAAGATTTAGTCAGGGGAGTGTTTCTTTAAACATGATAGGAAAATCAGTTTGAGTCCCAATTTCCTTGTCTGTTTCTAAGTAATATTTATTGGGAACATTTAAGAATGACTCATGTAACACTGCTGCTTTCAAATACCTCCAATTTCTATTTGTTGCTAACAAGAAAAGACAAAGAGCTTTGTCCTGGAAATTTTAGTCATGTAAAAAAAAATTAGAAGCTGCTCTGAGCTTTTATAACCATGGAAGTCTTTTTATTTCTGAAAAAGTAAATTCCACCCAATAATCTAATGTAAAGTTGCTACACTACAAGCCCTGCAAACAATGTGTTTTGCTCAAGAGTGATCCTTTCCTGTTAACTCCTGAATTGAGAACACTGGTGTCCTAACAGGGCTGTGTCCCTGAGCTACTGGTACAGGAGTTAATCCCACAGGGCCGCTCCTGACACCTGACTCAGTCCGCAGGAGAAAACATCCCCTTACTTACATGAGGCCTAACAATTTGGGACTTGCAAACAGGTGGAGTGACCGCTCGGGTCAGTCTCCACCACCTCTTTCCAAGTACAGTAGTGTTGGCCAAAGAACAAAAATCATCTGATACCAGGTGGACTGCCTTCCTCCATGAGCCTAGTTTTCTGACACATCTGCAAAAATCTCACTTTAAAACTTAATAAATTAAAAAAGATATATCTCCCCAAAGGCAATCCCACCAAAAACTGAAACTCAAACGCTTGTCTCATTTATTAACCCCTCTAGTAGTTCTCTATCTCCTAAAGGGCTTTGGGTTGACACACAAACACTAAAATAACAACTACCATTGTGCCTGGGCATTAATAACAACTGTGCCCGAAATTTAGCCAACAGAATTCTTTGTAATTTGTCAGCTGCCATGTTTCCTGAAATTCTACCCTGAGGTGGCTCTCTTGTTTTCCTCCTCCATCCAGAAAAGGATCAGATCAAGAACAATGGTAAGGAGCTGGGGGGTCACTGAGTGAGAAAGGCAGAGCACCCAGCGGCTTCCAAGCATCCGTCGCTTCCTCAGCTCCATGACTGGAGTGTGGCCACCCAGACATCTGTCTGTGCCTGCCACCCACCACCCACGCGCTCACCCATCACAGAGGCGGTAATGCTGGTGAATGTGACATTACAGAAGGCTTCTGTCTGACAGTTGGAAGAACAAGCACAGAAAAAGCTAAGAATAGAAGAAAGAAGGGAAAGCAAAATGCTAAAGACAAGAAGCCCTGTAGTGGCTGCTTCTTGTGTGATTCAGTGCAAAAGAGAGGAAAGGCTCCACTTACAGCCACTCCAGACATCCTGTGTTTGTAACTACCATAACATGTGGCAGTTCCAGCAGATTAGAAGCTTGGGAATGGCCATGGTGTCACTGCCGGCTAGCCACAGTCATAGCCGTTTGTTGGCTAATTCATATTACAGGATGAGAAGGAGCAGGACCATAGGACATCCCACTCGAAGACTGCCAGTAACCTAAGAGGCTTTTAGGCATTTGTTGTCTACTCTTTGGCAGCCATTAAAAGAACAAATGCCAGGGAAAACAGTTCTTGTCTGAAAATGATCAGATCACTGCTGCACTGACTTAACAGTCTGTGGTGCGGGAAAAAAGAAAGGTTAGCTCAAACTCCAGGTGACCAGGTAATAAAGCAACAGCCCTCCACCTCCAAGTTAAACTGATTTCCTGGGAAAGTAACTAGCTTGAGAGGCATCGATGTCCATAAAATTAGAAATGGTGGTGGTGGTTTACAATTATTTAGAAGCCAGGCTTGATTGGTTCACAGCCAGAAAATGAACTGAATGTATGTAGTCCTTTAGGGGTTGACTTTTCTTTCCTTTTCTTGAAAGAAGGAAGAGGAAGAAGAATTAACTGATACAATATAGAATGGAGAGGTAAGAAATCTGACAGAGCCAAGTTAATTGGGGTGAAAAACAGCATTTGCGGAATGAGTTCTATCAAGAGACTGAAAAGTTTCACAATGGAGAGCAGAAGGGCTCACCTTAGAAACTGAAGGTAGACCACTGGAGAGGACATTGCTGCCTGAGATCTGTATTTGTGAAGTCATCTACTGAGGCATAATTTAACTGTCTGCCATGCCAAAGAAAGTAGGCAAAGTTCAGTAAAATGTAAGCTCTTCTTTGACAACAAAAGTTTATTCTTTTATTGTCTATCATGGGAGGAACTGAAAATGACTGCCATGTTGTAAGACACACTCAGTAGGAGCCTGCCTGACTGCATCATCTTAAGGAGAAAGTACCTATTAGTTGAAGAGAAAAAGCTCTGGCCTGATTTAAATCTCCAGTCACCTTCACGTTCCTTATTTGAATTTGGTACCACGGAGGATTCACACTGAAAATGAGGGATTTGCCCTGTGGTCTTTGAGTATCTGTACCAGATAAGTCAAGAGATGAAATCAGTTTGCATGCACCACTCAGCAGCCTGGAATCCTGACAATAAACAGTAGCTATGGCTTTCATCTGAAACTGCAATAGCATCAAACTTCCAATGTTTGAACACACGTATTAGTGGAGCTACCCCCTTTTTCAAGGTCCACCACTGAACTTCCTCTTCCCTTCTGTTCTCTCAAATTTGTGGCCCAACCTCAGATACCAAACACAGTTATTTGTTTACATATGAACCACAAATCCCAAGTAAAAGCAAACTTTACCACCTGGGGATATTCCTTTTTATCCAAAGCTCCAAATAGTTTTGAATCTGTGTGGGATGCTTTTGGCTGTTCTGGTTTTCAAATTTATTTTCTCAAGCACAAAATCCAGAATAGGTTTGCAGTAAAGAAATGGGAAAATCAATCAGTGGAAGCCATCTGTGTTTTGGAGGGGTACTGCTTTAAATAAAAACTATTTATCAACAAGTGAAATGGTAGAAAGGGGAAGTAGTTCTTATTTGAAAGCAAGAGTAAACACAAATACAGAATGAAAAGCAGTTTAGAAAGGTGTGGGGGGAAAATCTGTACCAGGTAACACTGGAGGATGAAGGCTACATTTGCCACTGGAGAAATATTCTCTCACATCTAAATTCTGGCAGTTTGAAATACCAGCTCCTTCTTCCTTCTCTCCTCCCGGAACTGGAGTAGGAGGCAGCTCTCTGCCTGCTGCCATGGACACAGAAAGCAGAGTTCTTCTTCCCCACTCTTCAGTCCACCAGGTCCCACTCTATTTTCCCACCTCACTGTAACGACTTGGGGATGGTGCTGACAACGTGGGCTGCCTCTGTGGCTGCTGGAGGGGAACCAAAGAAGGTGTTGGTTTGATTCCTCTGCTGATCTCGGAGGTAAGGAGGAACTGAGGAGCTTTTGATGTGGAGGATCCGGGTGTCCATCACCTGGCAGTCAATCTGCATCATCACTTCATAATCCTGCCCATTGATCACGTTTTCTGCAGAGAGGAATACACACAGGAATCAACAATATTTACAACACACACATTTCTGGGGACATGAGTGTGCATTAAGGGTGTGAACTGTTGGGACACTTTCAAGGATGAGGAGGAACTGTATAAATCGCTAGACAGAGGTATAGCAGGATTGGGGCCCAGGATGGCGTGTCTCCCCCTCAGTTCTACTTCCCAGACAAACTCTGGGAAGTAGACAAGCCACAGAGCATCTGTCTGCAGGTGCTGTGTTTCTTGAGTTTTCCATGCAGTGAATTACCATGATAGAAACAACTGGAACAGAAGGAAATTTTAGTGCAGAAACAAAAATAAGAATACTCAAGCCCCCTTCTTTCCCTCAACGATGGGAAGAAACAATGTCAAAAGGACCAACCATGTGAATAGTGGCCTACATTGCTTAGTTCGTATTTATCAGTAAAATTCTAATTTCAGTAGAATGTTCCCAATTGTAAATTTCAGTGTTTGCCTTGGAAGCATTAGTACAGTGATGTGACATGAAGTAACAGACATCTAACAATTATGTTCTTTCCCTGATACCACTACTATATCTAGTACAAAGTGAGAAGTACTCGTAGATTTCCAATATGAGATTAAAGGGGGTGTTACTGGACTGACATCTGCAGAAGGAAATCACGTAGTCATGTATAACAGAAACGGAGCTATCAAGAGTTTAGAATGCATAAATATATACCACACTCCTTTCTTACTTTCCAAGAGAATGAGAGCTCTTTATTTTAGGGAGGTCAAAGTATTTCCTATTTGTATTCCTGGATGGTCATTTTTCAATTTGCAGTCAGTGAAACCAGGACATAAAACTGATGGGACAGTCATAAATAGTATTTTCCAAGTCCAGCTGAACAATCACAGCAATACAGTTAGAAGCCACAACCTTGGAAAAATGCTCGAGTGTCAATGTGGCATATGATTTTGCATTTTCACTCATTAATTTGGAGCTGGGTGTGCGGAGAGTGCAGTCCTTTATGACCTTTCTATGATGATGACAAAAAGTCGGTGATTTTTAAAATCTAAACATTTGACTCCTCTCTGACAAAGAACTGAATTCAAAAGTAGAATGTTATTCTAATGCCCTTTCTTTTTTACTTTGACACAGTACATGTTGAACATTATAAATCTAGAGAAGAAAGTACACAGTCTGGTATTTGGTCTTCAGATTCCATTGTTATGTCTGGGAAAACTAAGCCATAGAATGTGTCACTCTAGAAGTTAGGAAGGACTTTGGAAGATCATCTAGCCTGAGTGTCTTAAATTGGAGTTTAATTTACAGACTTCAGGGAGTCTCATTTCCCTAAAATTACATAAAACATAGTCCATCATATTCTGAATGTGATGCCCTGCCCTAAGAGTTAAAATTTACTAAACATATTTAATAGCCTATCAATTTTAAGTACATTGAGTAGATAACACAGTCTATTTTAAATACAATGGAAAACATCATTCCTCCATTTCTGTTGGTTTGCTATCTGTTCCAATGTTTAAAATAGTCTCAATTTATGATAAATTTCCCATTACAAGTCTTATAAATCTCTTCTATTACAGTTGAAGTTAATTTCTTTCTTTCCCAGCTGGCCAGGAGATGAAGAACAGCTGATTGCTGTGCATGTTAAATAGCCCTAGCTATTCTTTAAGACTGCTGTTACAGAAGCTTAAGTCCATTTCCACAAGTCCTGTCTCTTTGCAATGGCTATCATATCATTTGTTTATCTTTAGAAAATTACATTCAAATGCCTGTAAATTAGCCAGTGTTTCTCACTAAAGTATTTTCTAAAATGTAGGAGATGGAAGAAAAGACATTCTGCTAATGTCATTTGGAGTCATTTCATTCAGGACATGTGACCAAGTTCACATTTGAAGGCACCCACCAGTCATTTTCTTTTGGAACCTGTGTGTGTGTGTGTGTGTGTGTGTGTGTGTGTGTGTGTGTGCACACATGCATGTGCATATGTGTGCATACACTGCAGAGTAGACGACCAAATAATGAAAAACACATGGGTCAGAGACATGCAATTCACATTATAATTTTTACTGCTTTCCTGGATTAACTCAGAATTCAGATGACAGGTGAAGATCAAGACTAGGTTCTCTCACGTAGACCAAACCACCTGCAGAAGTCATTAGAGCCCATGTGCCTGTATGGCTGAAGCTGATAAATGAAGTTTCTTTAACATCAAGGAGAGGGAAAGCCTGGAAATGTAAGCTCAGAAGCTTTGATGGTCAGCTAAAGCTGCAATTTGATTCCGAAATCTAGACATTATAGCCATAGTTGAAATGGAACTGTCATCTTAAGCCCAACCAGGAGACTACTGGGTATGTTTGGTCTAGGTGGCTTTGAAATAGGTTCTGTTCTTCATCCTCTTCTTTTGTAGGTAACATTTTCGGCCAAGGAAACTATCAGTAATGCTAGAAGAAGACTCTGCCAGTCAGTATGTGAACCTCTGAAGCTGAGTTCAGGAAGCCTCTTCTGAAGAGCTTTAATGTTTGGAGTGCCAAACCTTTAGGCGTTCCAAAATACACATCATCTCTAAAAGGATAGTTAGGGGAACTAGAGCAACACTGTTCGGTTCCCTATTTGCACTTTAAAAAGAGCACTTTAGAGGTTTTGCACTAAGCATTTGAATCATGAGGCAGTCTCACCATTACTGAGGAGATCTGAATTATTTCAATTAAAGGAGAGACTGGGAAACAGCTAGTGCTACCTCTTGCCCTTTGTGAGTTACTGCCTCTGGGCTTTGGGGCATATGTGTACACATTGTGCACCTAGGAGCAACAGACAGGTCCCAAACTCTTTACCAGTGGCACATGAGGACCCTGTTATCTAAGATTTTGAGTTCTGTTAATAGGCCAACACCCTGGAAAGGATCTTTAATTTGCCTCTCAGTGTGAATAAAAAAAATACTGAGGTGAGTTCTAATTAGGGATTAAGAGCCTGAAGACTCATGGCTTTAGAAGGGGAGGGGAGAAAGGGCTCCCGAAGGGGGACAGGGATGTCTGGGTCTATGGATGGGCTGCATATTTGAAGGACCAGGTCCTCACTGTCAATAACAGGGCTCTAGGAAAGACAAAATGTTAATGTGTGGGTTTTCTGACAAGAGGGAACACAGTAAATATTAAATTAGGGAGCTGAGGGCCAAAATATGTGAAAAGACTGCCAAACCATATTTTTCAAATGTATTACTTAAAAAAAAAAAGGCTGTGGAGGAAATAAAACCAAAGGAGTGCTTCTGGAGCAAGTGTGAAAGAGTCACCCTTCCTCTTCTCCCAGCACGTGGACACTGCTTACATGGAGGACAGCTTGCATCCTGGGCCTTCTGCAGTGACAGAACAAGATAAAACACTGATCTGCCTTGGGAAAAAGGTGTCTACATAGCATGCTCTAAATTCAAAACTAATCAGGCACTAAACTAAAAAAAAGAGAGATGAGTGGCTTCAAACATGAGCACTAAAATGTGATTCTAACTGTTCAGAAGCATCGGAAAACAAAACAAAACAAAAAAGGTGTCTGGACGTTGTAGGCGGAAAAACTTTAGGCAACGTGCAATTCTGAACAGCCTGTAAACACACAATAAGTGAATTAAGTATGGCTGCCAAGAGGCTGGAAGCTGGGAGATGACTAACATGGAAACCAGAACAAACTATCCAATTATTTTACATAAAGTTTAACTTCAAAAATTGCAAGACTTTACCAGTGCTTTGTAAAGAAGCATCAGAAAACATCTTATAGTAGTTTGCTCTGTGCCAGCTTGGCTGGTGACAGGTGGTACTGTTGGTCTCTGTACCCGAATCTAATTCAGGTGTGGGGCAGACCTGCATGGATAAATATCCACCCACTCATGGGCTACAAGAAGCACTTTCAGCTCAAACAAACAGAAAAGGGAGGTGGGACTGCAGTGAACAAGGAAGTGGCAAAATGCCGTATTTTTACTGTGACTTCTAAAAACTTCCACAAGCTAACTCTATTATGCTGATCTTATCTCTAAGTTTCAATATAAGGCCCAGCTTTGACCCACCCCAGCAGGCCAGTCATTGTTCGTACAATATTTTTCCACTATTAGTAAAAAAAATCTTTTCTTCCCAGTTTCTCTACCCAGTCCAATTCTATTGATCTGCTAAGCCCATTTTGAGTTTTACTTCTAAGAAATCTTCCACGAAAATTCTAGTATTGATATTTTCCTTTGTAACTGGTATATAAATGCTCTATTTTATTGAATAGTGTTAAAATAGTTACAGAAATGAGTTTGGCTTCTTTGGCAAAATCAGGGATGCAATGAAATTAACAGGGGCAAGGGCAGTGAAACTAGAACTTCACTCATCGGCTGGGAAGAACACTGAGTGAATAATAACGGTCGCTCTGCAGATGGAAACACAGACAGTAAGAACACAGGCAAGACCAAAGTATTTCCAACAACTGCCACACATCCCCTTGGCTAAAAGACTGAAACCAATTTAACAGGGGACAAATTTAGGATGGGAGACATTCAAAGGCAGGGAAAGAGTGAGGGAGGGACATCATGCCTTCAGCTTTGACATGAACGAGAACTGGTTAAATAGCATAAGGACTCTAGGACCACTGAACCATAGAGATGCGGATGACAAGGAGAGCTCATCCTAAATGCAAGTTAGTTATCCCACTAGTGTCACTTAGTTCACTGAATAGGAAAGGTTGTACTAATATTGATTGAAGAAATTTTTATGCCCATATTTTGTACTTGAGTGACTAAAGATAATGATGTGTAATTTATCAACAATTGTTACTTTTTTATTATTTTGTTGTGAAATTTTGTTTTACCTTTTCTTCTTAATATTAACAAATAAAGTAAAATAAAATAAAAAAAAAAGGAGAGCTCATCCTGTTGGATTTGTGCATCATCACATCATCTAGATCATTATCACCAAACATGTGTGTGGGTGTAGAACAGAGTACATAAAAACCACAGACCCTCAAGGGACACCTTTGGTGGTCATGAAGA